ATTTTGTGCCTGACCACCATGAAAGGTGCCTTTGCCTGAAGTTACTTGAGAGAACAGTGAAATAATCTAAGCACTTCTCTAAGAATGTTCCTGCAGTTCTATGGACAAAATGTAAACCTCTAGCAAAAGAAATTACAGCAGAAAAAAGGCTAATGAGTCTCCAGGGAGGAAATCTGAAGAAATCGTTTTTTCACCACTTTTGTTGTTTCTTTTTCTGAGACAAAAATGCCTATTTTGAGTGAATTAAGAAGGAAAAAGAGTTGGTAAGCCAATCTGATAGCTATGTGAAAGAAAAAAGCCAGTCTTGTCAGGGAACAGCAGACAAGGAAAACTGTCAGCATGTAAAGCCCAGATTTTCCATTACAGCATCTCAACTTTTTTAATAAAGGGAGAAAAATATTTTTTCTTTCCAGAATCAGTAAGAATATTGAATAAAGGCATTTTKCATATTTCTTTTCCAATTTACATYTCCCTRKACTTCAGAAACTCATTTTCTGTTARGTGTCTCTTRTTAGGAAGCCTMGAAAAGAAYAGTGAAATAGGATTTTYAAACAATTATCTTAAACAGCAATCAACTGCTATAATTTYCACTGATTATTCCAAACCAATCAGGATCTGCCAAAGGACAGGCACTTTTGCTATAAGGAGTCTGTTCTGAGCAATTCTTTATCAAAACAGATTTGAACATATAAGGCAAATGAATAGTTAGAAGATCCAGGCATCATTTGAAATRTCTTCCTTGGCACTTTTCTACTTTWCTCTTAATTATTGCTCTYGAAAARCTGGAAGGAGAAATGCAACTGCTTCTCTTCTGAACAAATTAATTGGAAAAAAAGTTGACTTTTAATGCACACCTCTGTCTTCTCATCAATATATTGAGTAACAATCTCTTCAGCACATCCTACACTTAAACTTAAGGCTTTTCACATTAAATAGTTAAAATTGTGAGAAGAAAAATAATGACAGATAACAACTTTGTTAAGGCATTGGAAGTTAAGAGTTGTCAGGTAACTTTTAACTGAGTCCTAATTTTGCATTTAGAGAGGCTTGGAAAACATTATTTTAAAAAACCCAAGCAAAAATGTTCTATCTTCATTTAATGGCTGCCAGCTTCGTCAACAAAGGCAAATTAAAATTCCTTCTCTTCCCTCATGTGGCAGTACTAGAAATTTTAAATTTGCATCTCAGTGTTCTCTCTAAACATCTACACTAAAATCTAGCAAATATTTATTGTGTTTAACAGTTCTGTTCTGCTAAACTATTGATTTTGTTTAGATGAAGTCAGTCAAGATGCAGAATGTTACCTCAAAAGCTCTGAATTTTGGCCCAGGAAAGCAAAATTCTCTTCAGTTTATCTAAAGTCTTTAAAGAAAAGCAACACAAGTTTTGAGCCACACAAAGAACTTCCAGCATCAATTTCGTTTGGAAGCAAAATGTTCCTGGAATATTCAAATTTCAACACACAAAAGTTAAGGAAATTTATAGTTAGGAGGGAAAAAATGCAGTTACCTTAACTAAATGTGGTCTCACTAGGGTTACAATTGATGTGTATCTCTCTTCTAAAGGAGGGAATCCTATTTCCAGCTGTGCTTTGCAGTAGCCAGAGCGCTTCGAGAGTATATCTGACTTTTTACACCAAGGAACAAACAGTTTGTAATTCTCCACAACAGCAACAACTTCATACATTTCCTGCATGGAGTACCTGGAAACAGACACATGAATATTACAGTTACAAGGTATTTTAACCTCAAATTCAGCAGTAAAAAGTTTCAAAGATGGTATATGTGGCATACGTGGTTGGAAGGTGGATGTAGTCATTACTACTGATTATGGAAAYTGGAAATGCAGCTTTGCTAATTAARATGAAAGAACAGTAATACACTGCTAATTGCTTTTGCATAAAGAAGCAAAATATCACATACCATCCAGCAGTAACATTAGTGAATAATTAACCTAATGCCTGCTACTTTCTGCAATTTCAGGTAAATATGCATAAATTTCAAATGGAAACATTTTTTCCAGCACAACAGTTTCTTCATTTAGGCAGATCTTGACCATTCCACCAAAAAAAAAAATAAAAAAAAAATTCCACACTTCGTGGCTATGAAGACAAGGTATACTAAAACTCAAGTACTGTTTTTTATAAGGTTTAAACAGAGGAGCAGTATCATTCTTATTTTAGCCCAAGTGGAAAAACTTAATGAAAAAATAGATGGAAAAGCCTTCCAGCATCACARAATAGCTGAGGTYGGAAGGGAGCTCTGGACCTCATCTTGTCCAACACCCTGGCTCAAGCAGGATATTGAAATCAGATGAAACAATATTAAGGCAACATTTCAGCTGATTCTACTGCAACATGGCACAGTACTACATAGCTATGGTTTTTAATTTTTCATTCTGACTCTGAAACAGTTGGGATTAAACAGTTGCTTAATTTCCTTTAAAATGAAGTATATGTTCAACAGTACTCAGCAGTGAGGACGATTGGACAAAGACCCTTTTTAACTGCTTAGGCAAGATGTGTTGCAGTTCAAGAACTATCAAATAAGGGAATGTTAAGTATAGTAAAAAAAAAAAAATAAAAAAAAAGCTAAGAAACAGTTCACACTGTTATGGACCAGAGACTGGGCGCAGATCCCAGTATCATTAAATTAACTGGGATTTTCCCACTAGCTCTAAGGCAAACAAAAGTTCAAAATATTTTTCTGTGTCTAAATTTCTTCATCACACAACCAATTATTTTTCTTCTTTTAAAGAAAGAAGAAAATCTTGAGAAGTACAATAGAAATGCAAACATTGGTATGTATTTGGGAGACAACGGAACAGAGTTTTCACACCTGTTGTTTTATTCACTTTTTACTAAATGAAATCATTAGTGTATTATTCCATTTCAAGGTTGGTTTTTATTTTCTCATGGAATAGAACAGTTATTTCTGCTGTTTCTTGCTATGGCCCACGGGCTTTGGGTTCCCACTTCTTTCTACTCAATTTCAGGCTGGTAAACCTGATCTCTACAAATTCTAAAGGTCAAAACTCCTTTCTAGGCTCCAGTTGGGCACAGTCATAGGGACATATGTCTTCAGGGACATTCAGTCTTTTGAACTACTGTGTATTGGATGTGTTTTCAGTGTTTTGGATTAGTTAGAGCAAACACAAAATCAATAAGCATTTAAAGTCTCTTTCCACAATTTTATACAAACCCTATAATTCTTCTTTCAGAGTATTCTTTTCTTTTATTTATTAGTGGTGCAACAACATTGAAGAAATTTCTTGAAAAAGTATGGCTCATTACAGGTACTTGCAAAGGAGCAGTTCTGGTCATCAGAACACCACAAGAAGCCAAGTGCCTGAAACAGGGAAAATGCTTTTAAATGTGTTTCATACCAGCAAAATAAATAACAATTCATTCAGGTGAGACAATCTGTTGTAAAACATTCCAGAAAATAGCAGAAATAGATGGAAAAACAAAGGCTCCTAACAATATACAAACTGTAAAAAACACAAGAGTCACCTTTTTTTTTTTCCTTTAAGATAAACTGAAAATAGCCCTCAGTCATGAGGAAAGTAACTGGCAGAGTGGAATACAAAGGGCCTCATTAAACACAGCCTTCATGGCAGCTCGAGTTCACATTCAAGTCTCACATGGAATTAGTTTGCAGAACAGGCTTCCTTAACAGCAACATCAAGGCATAGTTTGCAATACTTTACTCGTTTGGAATACACAAAGTAGAGGAGGTTTCACTTGGAGATAGTAAACTGAACTCTGCTACAATCTCTCTGCTGCCACACTTTTCTTAAAAGGACAATTTCATTTTGAAAGTTCTTTCCAAAGGTGCATTGTTTACCCAGCTTTCAACATTTCCTACAGAAAATATAACCAGAACCTTGAACACAGTAAATAAAACGTAACAAATTACCTTTAAAAGTACTAGTAATTTTAAAATTGCATCTCAGTGTTCCCTCTGAACATCTACACTAAAATCTAACAAATATTTATTGTGTTTAACAGTTCTGTTCTGCTAAACTATTGATTTTGTTTACATCAAGTCAGTTAAGATGCAGAATGTTACCTCAAAAGCTCTGAATTTTGGCCCAGGAAAGTAAAAATGCCACTATTTGCCCTCAATGACTCTACAAACATAAGCTAAAGAGTAACCCAGGTTTTTTATTGATCTTTCTCTAATGATATAGCAAGGACTATATTTCTGTATTCATGTGGTTAAAAATGGAGCCAGCTTCTTCTGCTTAGAACTAGGCATCTTTGGGGTCTGTTTGGTTATTCTGTTGCTTTTTTTAAACACAGTGAACAGGTAGATGTCTTTTTTTCTTTTTCCCAAGCACCAAATTAGTCACCAATTTTGAATTAAATTAAATTAAATTAGAAATAAGAGTATGTTCTTTAAAAAATCAACATAACTTGGAATTCTAAATAAATACAATAGTTACCCATGACTGAGTACATTATCTTATGTGGTCACTATCGGGAGACAGATAAATAATAAATTGGTGTTGAGTTTAGAGGAAAATAATAATTATTAGCACCTGGTTAGAAACGAAATATACAGACTTTTTAAAAAACAACAATGTAATTGGGATATGAATCGTGATGACTGACAACACACTGTAATCACTGCAGTTGAAAAGAAACTAAGATGGGACAGAAGTATAGTGTCAAAATTAACAAAGGATAGGTCCGCTTTAAAAACCTTTAGACAACTGCCAATATTTGTAACAGTATCTCAAGGGATGTGGACAAAGTCTGCTTTTTTTCCACACAGAATGTACATGACTGTTAAGGAAAAGCTTTGATATTTCCAGGAATGCTGGAAGGGTGCCAACAACATTGTAGCTCCCTCAACCAGATTCACAGAAGGAGTTTAAATGTTCGGAGCAGACCTCATTCTGCACAGCTGATTTAAATTGCTTTATCTGGGGCTATGTATGGGACACAATCCAAACCAGTCCCCAGGTTTCGTCTCTTGGTTTGTTTTTTACTGTAAGGCTGTGCCAGTTCATTGTTTTATACAGTTTTCATCTAAACTTGTTTCAGCCACAAGGCTAAAAATCAATCCCTACAAATAATCTCTCAGCTGCTGAAAGACAATGACCTTTTCACAATTACAGTGCCATTTAAGGAAGGCAAGGTTAAGAGGTTATAATGCTAACAAGTATGATGAGAATCCATCCCTCTCCCGATTTTATCTGAAGAACAGATGCTGTGAGAATAGCACACATGCTAGGTGCCAGTTCAGGAAAGCAGACCTCTTTAAGAAATCCCTTATCACACAGTTTTGTGAACCTGGGCCACTGAAGAAAAGCCAATTCTCGACACACCTGCCACCTCTGTATTTATCCTCTGCCAGTGACAGAACCATCTCCACTCACACTGCTCTCACTGGCACCACTCACTCCTCCACTTGCTGCTTTCTCCCTAAGCGTTTGAGGACTGATCACAGTATCAGCCAACTTCCATGAGCTGAAAAGGAAGCATTTCTCGTGGATGACATGCATGTGTAAGTGATCCATATTCTGAGGTTTTATATTTTTTTTAAATACTTACTCAATTCTATAAGCCTAAATATCAAAGTTTTTGAAAAAAGGGCTCTCTTAACTCCACAGTGTAAAGACTGAAATTAGTGCCAGGAGCATGCTAGGGCAAATGTGTTAGTTGTTCCCTAACTGATACTTTCATCAGATTAGTGATATCTGATTTTATGGTCTGCGAGACATGAGTTGATCGCATTCAAATTCTTTACCAAGAGCTGTTCGTATCCCAGAAAAATGAGTGTACCATCAAGTGTCCTCAATAGCATTTTAGTCTGAATAAACATACTAGGCTAATTTACCACCTGAGCCCTTGAAGCCTTGGTACTCAGCGCAGTAGGTTCTGTCGAGGTGGTGGCAGGAGGTAGAGTGCACTCCGGGAACAACTGCAGGAGAGAAGCATCCCCAGCTCCAAGGCTACAACACAGCACTACCATAATTGTGGTAACAGGTGAACCTTTTCTTTTACACTAAGATTTCTAAAGTGCACTTTCTCTCATCTGCCTGCTCTTTTTTTCTTTCGCTTGTAAGATTAACTCTTCTCCCAAAGCATACAGTTTTTTTCAAGTTGTTGCAGCCATCCTTACACACACTCAGGTGAGAAGGAACTAGCTGCATTATCTGAAGCAGAAAACCTCCGGGCGCTTCCCTGAGTTTTTAATTCCTTTGACAGATTGCTCACAACTCCGCCACTGGCTCGGGCAAAGAGGCGAGTTTCTAACCATGCCAGCGGTCCCTGTGTCTCCCGCCCGCGGCCGCCGCGCCTCGCCCCGCGTTACCTGGCGGCGGCCCCTCCGGCCAGCGCCCTGCCGAGCGCCGCACCGCTCCGCGCCATCCCGGCCCCGCTGCTCCCCGCCTGTCGCCTGTGGCCGCCGCTCGCGCCGCGGGTCACGGGACAGCGCGCGCGCCCGCGCCGCTCCGCCTGATTGGCCCGGCGGCGCGCGAGCCCGGCGCGCGGCCATAATTGGGCTTGTGCGCGCGGATGCCCCCACCGAGCGGCGGGAGCGGCTTCGTGCCTGTCCCCGTGCCCGGCCCCGTGCAGCGCCTGAGCCCGCACAGCGCCTGAGCCGGGCGGGCCGCGGGAGGAGCCGCCGCTGCTGCTGCTCGCTGCGCGCACCGGGTTACAGTCATTGTCAAACAGTACGGCAACGGGCCTGCCTCTAATCACACTGCACCGTTTGACCGCAAGTGGAAACAAAGAACTCCTTACCTGACACTTCCTCGGAATTCACCTTTCAAATACAAACTCCCTCAACAAAAGCGTGTTTTACAATAACACTGCGACTGGAGACCTAGTGTTTAAATATAACTCATCACACATTTCATATTTTGTGTAATATGTGTTACACTAAGACTGCAAAATATATTTCCGTAAAATAGTTTGGATCGGCTTTTTTCTCTTTTTTTTTTATTTTTTTTTTTTTTTTTTTTTTTTTTTTTTTTTTTTTTTTTTTTTTTTTTTTTTTTTTTTTTTTTTTTTTTTTAATTCAGTACCGGGCATACTCTTGATTCTTGAGCTAAGAATCTTAAACTAATAGTAACATTTACATGTCCTGAACTTGCACGTCTATCTGGGCTGTATGCAGAAGAAAACCGGCCTGGATACATTGCCAGCAATGTCCCTTCAACCATAGGGGGAACCCATTCCCACCCATTTAAATACAACTAGAATTTTACACCCTATGTAAATGAAGCAATTTTAGTTAAAGCTGCTGAATGCATTAAGAAATGAGAAGATTTCTGGACAAAAATACCAGTTCAACTATATAAACCTCCAACAGTATCCTCTTCAGAAAAGTGCTCCTTTTAACTGTTGCAGCGTCCTTGCCATTAGCAAACCCATTCAATAACACCACCACCAATTTGGATGACAGAGACTAATTGGAGCAGCTTTTACTTTACCACCTCAGGGTATGGTATTCAGATAAGCTCTGCTGCAGCATGTTTTTATTAACTTGATGAAAACCAGAAACAAGTAAAAACCTATGTTCTCCAGTGCAGGCAAAAAAAACAAACTGCAAAGCCAGAAATACAAACAAAACTCCAATCTTATCTTGTCCTCCCCTTCTCTAACCCTTATTACTAACCTCATCTGTGAGTTTTGCAAATTCCACGAATGCTGCTGTTATTTGCTGGATTCACTTCCTGTGTGTTCTGTGTTCTAGCTTGCACTGTGGATTAGAAATTATCTCTTAGAGAAACTGACGCCTTTTAGTGTTTAGAATAACTGAAAAGTCAACTGTTGAGAAGCCCAAGGTGATGAATGTCTAAAACACTTTGAGGGTTTTTTGCCTTTTGTGTTTTCTCTTGGCAGGTTCAAGATTAAAGTTCTTCAACTTGCTTGATACTTGTTGCTGGAAAAGAGAGTTGTATTTACTAACTTTGATAGGAAGAGTGGCCCAAATTAATCCTTAACACCAGAGGGATGCAAGACATTTCTGATTTATTTGGAAGAGATCTACTGTATGACCACATAGATTTCTTTTTCCTAAGTGCTACTTTTTGCAACACTTACCATCATGAGCAGGTTAAGTTTAAATTGTGGTTATGAGGTTTGTACTATTAAAAACAAGTAAGAATATTAAGGACACCTTTCAGTGGGCAAAGAGTCATCTTTGATGAGGAGAGCATATCCCTGTGTCAAAAAAAAGCTATTTTTTACACAATTTATCTAGCTCTATTCTTACAGATTACTGAAAAGAGCACCTGATTTAGTCTGTTCCTTAGGCAGCCAAAGGTATGCTGAGGAAGACAAAAATATAGCCATTGTATAAATGTGTATAAATGAATTTTGAATAATACTTGCCTTCAAAAGATTTCAAAATATCTCACAATTAGACATGTAGGCTGAGAAAAATTATCTAGAGGCATGGATGATAATTAAGTTGCTAGTTACATGAGCTGCAAATGCAGCTAGGAATTAAGGGCAGATTTCCTATTTCACACTCAAGTGGATTAATCAGGAGGTAAAACACAAAATCACATATATTTTGCAATATTTCATATAGCACCAGTGACCTTGGTGTTAGTAATAATCAAAGGATTTGGCTGTAAACTCGTGTAAAGGATTAGACTTGTTAGATAGTCATAAGATTTTGGTGGGCCTGTAAATCCAAAAGAGGTTTAAATCTCAAGTGCATAATTGCTCACAGCCAGTTTTGAAATCCAGCCACTTTGTTCTTACTCTGTCCCACTTCCAAAATAGTACTGTCTGTATTTATTTGACTGCTAAGGAAGAACATGATCTGCACTAAACCATGCAGACTCCAGGCTCAGCTGGGGCAGGCTTGGGGAGGATTGCTGCTTGAGGAGCGCTGCGTCTGCAGCAGCCCTTACCCAACCCCTGCCAGCCCTGGGGAGCTATGCTAACGGGGACACAGGGCCAAAGCCTGGTTCCTCTTGGCGTAAAATCTACTAAAAGACTCTCAGTCTCTCTCGCGGGAGCCACAGGACTGTGGAAGCACAGGAGACAGCCCCATCACATCTTTGATTTATGTTCCTCAGCCCATTCTTACCAGCAGAGACATGCAAAGCAGGGGTGGTTTCTGTCCAGGTTATGCAGGTCCTGTAGAACACAAAGCAGCCCTCATTTCAACCTCTCCCAAAAGCTTACCATCCAAAGTGTGGGTTTTTAACTCACTGGCATTCCAGTGACAAAAAGGATCGTTTCTACATTATTCCTTGTTGACATCAGAGGCAAATATAGGTCTGGAAGAGATTTTATTTTGTGCTGGTTTTTTTCTTGCTTATATTGTGTGAGAAGTTTCTACAGAGCTGAAAGATAGCTGCTGCTGTTAAATATTTCCTCTCTTTGTTTTAAGAACTTTTGTCCTCATCTTTACCAGACACATGAATGTCAGTGAACTGTCCTTGGCACATGAAGCTAGGCACAGACCTGCAGTAGAATGAAGGACTAGGAGTTTAGACCAGGTTTGCAGCTTTTTGCATAATGTCAGCTCATTGTACAGTTCTTTATTAGCATTGGGTGTGGGGAAAAGTTAATACAAATTAAAAGTTATTTTTGGAATAAGCAGCACGAGGATGTAGTCAAATGCCTGCCTTCTTTGAGTGAACCAGTGCCAGAAACTTCTGCTGGCACAATAGATGGGGTGACTCAAGGACAGGCAAAGAGTCTGGATACTTCTTTCAGCACCAGTGCCAGCTAGTGACAGCTTAAGCTGCCCATGAAATTGGACCTGAATCTTACGTAAAGCAGACCTCGAAGGTCTGTAGCTTATGGGGTCTTAAATCCAATCCATTTCAAATCCATAAAGAAACCTATGCAAACTGTGTGTACACGTGTATGTGTGGAAAAGGGATAGGAACTTGGGCAGGCTGAATAGGACTGGTAACCASTAACAGCCCAGTCCATATCCTGTGATAGCTGTGTGGTGGAGTCATTGTTCAGCAGACAAAAGTACATTGTCAGGGCTTTGACAAGCTGACATAAAGAACCCAGGGCAGCATGCAGAATTTGGTGGAAAAACATGGAAGAGACACAAGCACAAAGCAGTTTTCTCATTGTTTCATCACAGCACAATTCCTGTTAGCTCTCACAACACATAATCCCCCTTCACGTGTGAAATGGCATGTTCCAAAATGACTAAAGTGTTCCTTGGGACCTCATCCCTGAGCTCAGCTCTGTTTAATAACAGAGGAAATGTAACATGGCACTGCTCTGCTTAACATAAATTGGAAATCAGGCTGGAGGAAACAAGAGAGTTACTGCAAATTGATCTTCATAGTGAATCTGAGCATGTGACATTTACTTAAAATAGTTACATGCATTCAATTCTTGCAGTAGGGAATTATTTTGCTTCAACCTTACTATCACATGTCCCTGGGCAGCTTGGTAAATATCTCCTTKTGTAGCCTATGAGTATGTGCAAGTGTATCTTTCTAGAAATGCAAACTGCGAGTTTAACAATCCTGAGAACAAAGAACCAGATGACCTTCAGCCCCTTCAAATGACAGTTGTTCTTAGGAACATTTGTATATATGTAGTTATGTAAATTATTACCAGCAAACTCCTGTTCAGCAAACTCCTGCAAATCAATCGAAGCATAGACAGATCTTAAGACCAGTTGGTTAATCAAATATACATATTAAGACCAGTTGGTTAATCAAATATACATATTAATGAAAAGGAACTTCGCAGGTGTACAATAAAACCACATGACAGTAAATAAACTACATAAGTTTACATATGACACTGTGTTATGAAATACCATTGATACGTAGTATGATTAAGCAATCATGGACCTTGTACTTAGGTTGTGTGGCCAGCCTTGGCGTTTTACTACTACTAAAAGTTGGGAGAATAAAAAATTAGCTTGTTCACTTACTTACACTTGACTGTAAGGGAGCATTCCCAGGGCTTTGCATGTGGACAGAATCAATCCTATTCAGTTATTAGGTACACAGTAGATAATGATGCTGGAATGTGTGTATATCACACCAAAAGAACTGGGAAAAGAAGTTAAAAATTGCCAAATTAAATGTGGAAGTGGTGTGAGGTCAATTATCGCAGAACAGCTAAATAATTTGTTTATATTCCCACTTAGATCATGTTCATAAACATCTGATTGTTCCTCCTTCTCTTCCAGACTATTCTGGGTTAGTCCATGTCTCTGTTGAACACCTTCAGTGGCTTTGACTGAGCTAGATAAAAAGGGAGGTGATTGCTTTCCAGGTATTGGATGCAACACCATTTTTAATCGTCTGGAATTAGATTTACTTCCACTGCAGCAGCATGTTGCTATGGATAGTCTTTTTGTAGGAAACAATACAGCTTTTAAGATCAATTTCTCCAGCTAGGCTTAGTTTGACCTTGCTTTGGGGAAGGGAATTATTTTAAAGTTCTTTTAGGAGAGGAGCAGCACTCTATGGAAATGGATTTAACATATCAACGACTGGGAGTAGCCCAAAAGATGCCCGGAAAGATAAAAGGCTATCAACAGAACATCAACAGAACATCAGTGGCCATTTACGAACATCTACTCCAGATGCCTCTGGCAGAGCTGGAAACATCCAGTCCCGGAAAAAAACTGATTAGGAAAACTAAGGAATGAAGATCTAATTAACATCAGAGGCGAAGAAACTGGAGTCCAGTAGGAAAGTGAATACTGGGGTTAATAGACTTTGAAACAATACATCCCAGTGAATTTTCACTGCATAAAGTTTGAAGGAAAAACCGCAAAAGCATGTGTGTTTAGAATATTTTCCTTGACACATCCTGGCCAGTAAATGAAGCAATGCCTGATTCTCTATCACTTCAAATATAGTATTAGAGGGTTTTTATTTTCTTCCGGATTTTCGGTGATAATATAGCTTTGATTTGCTTTTCCCATGTAATCAGTTTCTGACGATTTTTGCCATTTTGAACTCACGCAGTGACCTAAAATTCCAATATGTAGTAACTTCTGTTTTTTTGTTGTTAAACTTACCTCCTTGATCTTAGTATGGATCGATGTAACATGATTTTCAATTCCTTCTTCCACCTGCCAATGGTTTTGGCCAGTTTGGTGTCATCTGCCAGTGCTGTAAACACAGCTGCCCTCGTTAAAATATTGAGCAGACTTGACCTGCCTGAAGCGCTGTAATCCGGTTGAGCCCCCATTTTGTGGCAATAAACATATATATATATGCTTTATTCCGCTATCTAGCAATCCGCCTGTTGGCACCGGGCCAGCTGCCCTGAGCAGATAAACACAGCTCCAGCAGTTTGCCAAACAAAGTCGCGCACCCAAATTCCAGCGGGCACATGCCTCAGGAAGAGCCCAGCACCTATGCGAAGGAAGTTTTGAGGGGAATCAGAGCCATATTTGRCGYTTCCATTCCCACCGCCCTCAGMGCCCTCAGCGCCCTCACGGCGGGCTCGGCACAGCGCGCGCCCTCCCCGCTCCCCATTGGCTGCGCGCGCCGTCCCTCAGGCGGTGGGCGGGGCTTCCCCCCCGCCCGCGGAATCGCGGCCGCGCCTGCGCAACTGCCGGCTCTGGCGGCCCCGTGTGGCGGAAGCAGCGGGGCCGCGCCAGTTCCGCCTCGGCGTCGTTGGCGCTGCACAAAATGGCGAAGATCGCCAAGACTCACGAAGGTAAAAATTCCCGTAACGCCCCGTGTCCGCGCCCGCCGGGGCCGCGCTCGGATATCACCCGCTGGTTGTGTTTCTCGCAGGCTSCGGGCAGCGTCAGGCGCGGCTCGTCTGACGGGGGTCGGGCGGGCCGGGCCTGTGTATAATGGCGGCTGCGCTCGTCAGCGCCGTGYCCGGGCCGGGTGGGGGCCGGGCGTCAGGGGGAGCTCTCGCTGTGCTGGCGTGGGACAGAGTGGCGGCMCAGTGTGGGGCAGCGCGGTCGTTGAACTCCCTGGCCCTCTTTCACCCATCGAGCCTCGGCCTGTGCTCTGAAAACCCCGCGGTCTCGATGCGSGTTTCGCATCAGAAATGCCAACAGCGCACGCTTATTCCTCTGCCCGAGCCCTTTGGCCTCGGTAAACAAGCGGCTGGAGAGGACGGGAAAACGGGTGTTGCCCGTTGGAAGCCGGCGCGGCCCGAGCTGATACAGAACTGCGGCGGTGCTTGCTGAGAAAAGTGCCCCGAAGGAGGGGAAAGCGTGATGTGTGGAGCATCTGAGCTGCCATTTTACACAGACTTCCTGCCGCCCGGGTGTTTACGTRGGAAAGCGGCTCTCTGAGCGATTTAGCGAGTGAGGCTTTCCCAGGCGTGTTCTTCTCGAAGGTGCTGTGTGCCTGTGTGCGCTGCTGCTTCCAGCTCTTCTCAGTGKGAATCAAAGCTGTCTTTGTGGGCATTGACTGCGGCTTGCCCTGCGCTTAAATATCTATAGGCAGCGGAGAATAATTTGTTGAATTACACTGCTTCTCTGTTTTTGCTTTGGGGTTTTTCACTTGTGTTTCTATGTATGATAGGTGATCTGCTATATTTTCTCTTAATTTATATCCGTAATTCACCAATCGAAAACTACTTCTGGATGGTGGTTGTGCAGTGTGAGGTAGGCAGAGCGCAGGTATTGGTTGTCTTTTGGGATGGATTTTTCTTTTTTTTTTTTTTCTCCAGTTTGGCACTGTGAAAGCTTTCAAATGGAGAGCGCTCGTCTCTCGTGGAAGCAAGTGAGGTTAATGTAGTCTTTTAACATTGCAGACCTAATCTAACCTTAGGGATAAAGAAAAACTTAAACTGTTGTCCTTCCCTTTTTAAAATTTAATATAATTCTTTTTCTTTAAGAATTCTAGGGTATTTCTATATAATTACAGAGGTTGTCCTTTGTTTATATGCTGTGACATGCATAATGGTTGTGTGAGATACTACCCAAGTGAGTATTACCCATCACAGTTCTTTGCCTGTCCTATTACCCTGAGAGATTTTAATAATAAAATAGTTTAATTGTTGTGGTTTAGGGTTTTTTTCAAACTTAAATTGCTTGTTTATTGGAGTGAATGGTGGTGGTCCATTGACTTACAGTGAAAACACTGCCATGCTTTCAGTTGATGTGTTTTGATTAGTGTTGTATCAGACAGGTTTTAAGGGGAAGGGTACTTAGGTGAAAAATGTGTATAACAGGATATCATGTAAGGGTCTTTCCCAGCATGGAGGCATTAGCTGAGCAGCTTGATTATTTTCCTTCCAAGTTCCACCTTTTTTCAGGTCCTGACTAACCTTTCAAATTGAGTTGTGAGTTACTAAATGATCTTAAAAGATTTTTGATATTTTTGTACTGTTTGTTAAATACTTACTGACTGATGTCAATAGACACAACTTGAAAGAGGCCTCAAAACAGTTRGAGGTTGTGTCACCTACAGAGTTAAAGGGGAATTTCTGTGTTTGAGGCTGAAAGGTAAAGTTTTAAGTGGCAGCTTATAAAACTTCAATAAATGCTTGAGCTTTAAGTGGTGTTGAAGGTCGTTTTTAATTTAAATTTTGTTTCTTGCTYAGAAAAGAACAGTGATCTTCAAACATAATAGACCTAATATGTATAAAAGTGCTAAAGTAGCTAAAAATAAAGCCACGCAGACTAAGCTAAATGTGCAAAAATAAGATAAGACATGAAAACACAGAACCTGTTTACACAGTGAAATACCTCTCTCGCACAGGATCTTCTTTCTCTTTTTAATGTTGAGAGTAGAACTCCATGTGGCAAGGAAGCACATACTTTGAGAAAACCTGTCTGTGAGCTAGATGTGCATTGACTTCAAATTCACATGTGTTGACTTTAATAGTATTCAGCATTTATGGTATGTTTCAAATCAATTGCATATTAAAGTTGCTTCTTCAAAAATACCGAATATATAAATAATAAAATAAAATACAGAAAAGGAATGTTCAGTAGAATATTATCCCCCTTGTCTTTTTAATTTCCCTTATATCTCACTCCCTTTACTGTTTCTCTGTGAGAGAGCTTTCTGTTCTGTCTTGCTTGACTAAGTCATTAAGCAAGTACATTGCTTTGCGCAATGTATCTTTAATCTTTGTGATCACTCYTTCTTAATTTGATTTTTATTAAAGTGCTTTTTTAAATAGGGTGTGAGGTTTTTCAAGGAAGTTCCCGTTAGCTCAAGAAAGRTAAACACATCTTAAATGTCAAAATAGCATTTTTGAGCTAAATACATGATGCTTTCCAAACTGGCAGCCAGGCTGCCTGGGACTACCGGCCTTCTGATTCAAGGGGTTTTGTGCTTGTCAGATGGGTGTTCTCTTTAGAGTGCTTTGTTTAAACTGGCATCTAGAGGCTGTGTGGCATTACTTGAAAATTAGGGTAGCCATAAAGTGGAGTTTGTTGACCCTATGCAGTCTTTGTTTTATGGTATAGGTAACCCTGCAGGTTTTGCTGTAGGAAAGTAAGAATGCACCTTACCCTGCCAACAGATGTAACCCCTGTAATTTAAATGAGAAGGCCAGCTATGAGACCTCTAGCCACTTCATTAAATATAACTGTTTTGAGAATAAAGTTAGRGGACAAGGCCTCAGTATGTTAATTGTTTGTAAGAAGTATCAGTAGGAAAGTATTTTTGTGTTAACAGTTTTACTGCAGAAATCCCACAATTGTTTTACTTGGCTCTGTTGGTGGTAGTAAAGGTGGGAGGCCATGCACAAGCAAATCTCTGTGATCCATCCTGCAGGGCAGGGTACGTGCTGGTGTGTTATGTGTTTGAGCTGTATGGTCAGSTTGATTCAGTGAATAGATGATGGAAAGGCAAGATGATCCTGCCTGGTAAGCAAGATCCAGAGGCTTTTTTCCATGTTGAAGTTTATTTCACTTATGGATGTTCAGAATGGTCTTACTTGCTACTAAAGAGGCAGTGGTTGTTCCAGTAACTGCTCTTTGGAAATAAGGAAAAAGGTGATGTTGTACTCAAAGCACCCACTTGGTGCTGGTAGTGTTTTGTCCTTGGTAGAGATGGAAGCTCCTGTTATTCACTTTCACCCTAGTACTGCAATGCGCCAGGCTACGAAAGAAACGAGGAACTTCATCTGCTSTCTGGAAGAAACAGAAATAACTAAAAAATATGTGGGCAAGGTATTTGGGTTGCRTTGGCTCCATAGCCAATTAGGATGATTCCACAAAAGTGGACTACCTTAAGAGGACACTGTAAGCACCTCTGAAGGGGATCAGGGACCTCTGTGGGCAAGAGAAAGATCCTTAATTTGGCAGTAGTTTCTTTCTCTGCTTCTCCAGGAAGTAAGACTTTGGAGAACAACATGTTCCAAGTTCTGGACTCACGGGAATCATTCCTCTGTGCTGTGCAGGATTTTAGTGGGAGCAGGATGTACCCACAGGCAGAATTCAGAAGGTGCCCGTGGCCAGCAGTATGAGGCTTTTGTGAGGTTTCAGCTTCTCATGRCCTTAAGGCATCACGCGTTTCTGTAACACAAAGGTGACTGTCTAAGTTACTGTGTTCTAGATAGCTGCAGAAGTTCGATGCAAGCCCTGAGGTGGCTGGGGCAAGATTCTCCTTAGCAGCCTTTGGGGTATATCTTCTGTGTGTGGGACTCTTGATGAGTTTAAAAACACATTTCTGCTGGTTTTCCTCACTAGACCACTGCAGAAATTGGTGATTTGCTGCCAGGTTGATGGGGCTTCACATGAAGTCAGGGCTTCTTTCTAAGGGAACATTTAGTCCTGCTATTCTYACTCATTGCTATATGGCAAAGATTTATCAGGTAAAGCTGATGAGTTTGAGTTGCCTCTCAGAAAACATSCCTTTGTACAGGAGGCATAATTTAACTTACAGTGGGTTTGTGGTTGTTCATGGTTGTTGGGGTTTTTTTGACTAATGGCAGTCTCTGATAAGAAAAGGATCCAGCTATGATGTTAAGTCTTGACATTTGCAGGCGTGACAGTTTAAACTTTTAAACTAAGCAACTCTGATCCAATAATTTGGACCAACATTTTGAAAAAAGTATTCTTATTTTAATTTTTGTCAGGTTTCTTARTAGATATGACATAACACTGTACAGTGTCTTTTGCAAGACTTGGGGGGAAAACTTGTCAAATTTATTCATCCTGAAAAGAGAGSTGAGCAACAGTAGTGAACAACTCTTGAATAGTCAAGATTATTTGTGAATAAAATTTCCTGTAGCTTTTTTGTAGATTGACAAATCTCCCTTTAAGTTAATGTAGCAGGCAATGCCACTTCAGATGGTAGAGGGTGAATCCTAGAATTGTTTATGTTGAAAGGGGTTTTTGAGACCATGTAATCCAATTCTTCCTCTCGGGCATGATCTCTTGTATTCTTGCAGCCATGAAATGCAACTCTTGGGGTGTTTTCTTGGCCATTAAAGGAATTGTTTGATTTAGTGAAATTTGTACTGTGTGCCTAATTGCCTTTCCATATCTAT